GATCCCCAAATTCTTCCATTTTGATCTAATTCAATTATTGAAGCGATGCTTATTTATTGATAAGAAAATAACCTAGATTTAATTATTTCTTCAGATTCACCAATAACATTAAATTGCGACTACCGCTAAAAGGCTTACCAAGTTAGCCTACATTTCATCCCTTTGATGGGGACGTTTCCCCCGTGTCAATACTGGCACACATTCTGTAACGCGTAACGAGCTAGGTAATACTAGTGCTAGCTCATTTTTGATGGCTGTTACAGAAAATGCCTCCTGCAACTGGAGGCAATTATAGAAACTAATACATTAAACAAATAATATTATTTGGGCTTCTTTCTGTATTACGCAACCTATAAACCCATTAAGCCCATGTAATCTTTAGACTTCGGGCTCAAAGCAACGAGGCCCTCTAGAGTCGGGCAGGCTCTTATTTCTCGGTGCTTTTGGGCAAAAGCTCAAGTGTAGTAACTACGCCTGACGGTCATTTTCACTGCGCGGCTTTTTTGTTGAACATCTATTGCTGCGCAATAGAAGACTAAGTTAGATCTATTAGATGATCACTTTTCAAGCATTCGATTAATTAATTTTCTTCTAAAATTATAGATAATAAGCATAAATGCTATCTTCGATAACAAAACAATCCAAGCAATTTTATTCATGATAAGATTCAAGTACATAATTAGAGTACATGATTATGCAAGAACATTCAACATCTTCAAAATGTATTTAATTTTTGTATCTAAATCACGATCTTCAATAGCCTGAGCATAATCATTCTCCAAATCCAGAACAGTCTTCGACAAAGTATGATATTTAGGATGATCAACTAACGCTTTCTAGGCATACCAGTCGGCGTGTTTTTGACAATCCTCATAACTTAAAACCACATCAAACATCTCCATAACTCTTGCCCCAAGGCCAAATTCACCTTCATCCAAATGATTTCGGACAATTGATATAACTTCAAAAAATTTCTTCCTTATTCGTCGTAATCCATCTTCAAATGAACGCCTCCTTCTAAACAACTTCTTCCGATTGAAAACATACTGCATATCTGAGAACGAAGGATACTAATTCTGAGCTTCGGCGAGATCCCCGAATTCTTCCATTTTGATCTAATTCAATCGTCGAAGAGACGCTTATTTATCGATAAGAAAATAACCTAGATTTAATTATTCATTCAGATCCACCACTAACATTAAATTGCGACTACCACTAAACAGCTTACCAAGTCAGCCTACATGTCATCCCTTATGTCATCCCCTAATGGGGACATTTCCCCCGTGCCAATATTGGCACACATTCTGTAATGCGTAACGAGCTTTTGACAAGATCAAGTGAATAGTAACTACGCCTGACGGCATCATGACGTCTCCAAAGCCGGCTGGGCTTTAGTCAACTGGCGTATGAGATACGCCAACACTTTCATTAAACACACGCAACTGATCTTGACTTATACAATTCAGATCTGGAAGTACATTAGAAGCGACGACCACGTGCAGAGACTCCACAACCTTCAAAAATGCTTCATACTTACTGGAGAAGATCATCCCATCTTTAAACTGTTCGATTAAATCATACAATACAGTCGATGCTCGACTAAAATCAAAGTAACAAATTTTTTGATAATCATACATATAACTGATATCTGTATAATTGCCTCTATTAATATAAAACGCTGAGCGTTCCTTCATGAGATAACGGAGAAAAGTAGTCTTCCCCTCCCCTCCACCGGCACCTGTAACTGCCATTCTTTAAGAATCAAATTAGGAAAAGAAGTGCGCCATCTCTCCATAAAGTGTTCTGCCCTAGCACAAACAATAACGCCCCTGCATCTCGTAAACTCAACCGGATGATCGAACGTAATCCCGTTCAGTTCTTATCCTTCTCGGGCTCTCTTAACACACTTAAGAACATCTTCAGTCTGCGACTTCGATCCTTGATCCACTCAAACTTCATATTCAAACAGACCTTCAGATCTGGTAGCCTCCTTCATGCAATAAGCCTTTGCCTCATCTCTGGTTCCTCTCCTCTTCTCTGCATGCAATTCTCTAAAAATTCTTTTAAGCCAGGAAATCCTCTGGGATTTAAAGATTTCAACATACATCTGAATATGGGGCGTTCCATTCTCAGCAACTTCTAATTGATAACAAGTGTAGCGAATATTATTGCATTGAGAAAATACCTCGTCGGGTATTGGAAATGCAGAAGGATTGTTAATCGTAATTACATAATTGCGTATCTTTGACATTACGTGAGGAACATGTGCTGCCACGCTGGACGAGCTAGGTAATACTAGTGCTAGCTCGTCCAAATGACTGTTCCACTCCCTCCTAGTTTTTATTACAAAGACAAAATATAAAGGGCAAAACAGACTTTTGGCAAGATCAAGTGGATAGTAACTACGCCTGACGGCATCATGACGCCTCCAAAGCCGGCTAGGCTTTAGTCAACTGGCGTATGGGATACGCCAACACTTACATTAAACACATGCAACCAATCTTGACTTATACAATTCAGATCTAGAAGCATATTAGAAGCGACGACCACGTGTGGAGACTCCACAACCTTCAAACATGCTTCATACTTACCGGAGAAGATCATCCCATCTTTAAACTTCTTGATTAAATCATACAATACAGTCGATGCTCGACTGAAATCAAAGCAACAAATTTTCTGATAATCATACATATAACTGATATTTGTATAATTGCCTCCATTAACATAAAACGTTGAGCGTAGCCAAAAAAATCCATGCCAAATATAGCAAAACACTTCAATGTTTGAATCTTGATTAAAATGATATAGTTTATTTTTTAAATCAGATCGTATCAGATTCAAAACAAGATGCATTGCTTTAATACAATTACTTATACCTAGTAATGAATGATACATGTGATTTTACTATATTTGATAATTGAATTTTCATAAATTTCATACACAATTACTTATACCTAGTAATGCATTGCTTTAATACAATTACTCTATCAGGGTTTTATTTTCTTACACAACAATTGAGCCAGAGAAATAGAAAGGATTGTTGTAGATTCATCATCATCAACGTGAAACTCATAAATCAAAAAATGAAATGTATTACATGTACGCATGTATATATTAACCCACTAACAAAAATTAAATAGCCACCTAGACTAGTTAAATTTGCTTTCTTCTACACTATCAACTAGGAAGTTATCGACTCAAATCTAGTATTAATTATTTCCTCCTCATTATGGATTTTTCTTTTCTTTTCTCGAGTATTTCTTGTATTTTATAATTTTTTTGGTGTTAAGTTTGTGGGTATGAATTGTTAGACTTGAATGAAAATTGTGTTTTGTTTGGGTCTCGGTTTTTTAAGGGTGTATTTATAATTCAGTGGCGATACAGACCCCCTCAGATTCCCAACCCCACCACCCCCACACACACGTGGGGTTTGGTGAGTGGGGGAGAAGAAAAAAAAAAAAAAATTTTTTTTTTGACCAATGAAAGACAGAGGGGGTCATGGGGGTTGCTTCCAAAAGGGGGTCTAAGTCTTTTTTGTTTATAATTTTATCCTAAAATATAACACTTTATTATAAACATGCTTCATACTTACCGAAGAAGATCATCCTAAAGTATAACACTTTTTTCAAACATGCTTCATACTTACTGGAGAAGATTATCCCATCTTTAAACTTCTCGATTAAATCATACAATACAAATGATGTTAAGATAAAACTATAAATACACCCTTAAAAACCGAGACCCAGACAAAACACAATTTTCATTCAAGTCTAACAATTCATACCCACAAACTTAACACCAAAACAATTATAAAATACAAGAAATACTCGAGAAAAGAAAAGAAAAGAAAAATTCATAATGAGGAGGGAATAATTAATTCTTGATTTGACTCGGTAACTTCTTAGTTGAGAGTGTAGAAGAAAGCAAATTTAACTAGTCTAGGTGGCTATTTAATTTTTGTTAGTGGGTTAATATATACATGCGGACATGTAATACATTTCATTTTGTGATTTATGAGTTTCACGTTGATGATGATGAATCTACAACAATCCTTTCTATTTCTCTGGCTCAATCGTTGTGTAAGAAAATAAAACCCTGATAGAGTAATTGTATTAAAGCAATGCATTACTAGGTATAAGTAATCGTGTATGAAATTTATGAAAATTCAATTATCAAATATAGTAAAATCACATGTATCATTCATTACTAGGTATAAGTAATTGCATTAAAGCAATGCATCTTGTTTTGAATATGATACGATCTGATTTAAAAAAATAAACTATATCATTTTATCAAGATTCAAGTATTAAAGTGTTTTGTTATATTTGGCATGGATTTTTTTAGTTATTTTAATCATAAAAAAACAAAATAAGTTAAAAAATCAATAAGACAAAATGTTGCATCTAAATTATAATTATTTTATTTTTTTTCTCATAAAAGTCAAAAAAATCAAAAAGTTTATCTCAAATAAAACTTTTTAATCCCAAGTAAAAAAAATAAATAAAAATATTAAAATGTCAACTCACATTTTAAACGAAGGCTTCCAACACAACCATTAAAAAACGAAAAAATAAAGGCAAATACTATTTGCTTGTGTAGTGGATCATAACTGCATAGGCAAGCCAAGCTAACACAAACAAATGGATTTGGACACCTGAGGTTACAAAGGAAATCATTAAAAAGAAAGACAAAAAGAAAAAAGAGGGGGTGATATTATCAGGTTGACATCATTGCTTGGTCAGCTTCCAACATCCCATGGATGGTGATAGAGGAGTGGGGAGAGGGAGAGGCCGAGCACGTGTACAAGACAATATGACAGCATGTCACTCCCATATCCTCAAACGCCCCCAACACACTTTTTAGACATATTTGCTATTGGAAAAAAAGGTACAATTTGGAGCACCAAACCAAACACATGAAATAAAAGGGAAATGCATAAAACTTTCCCAAAATAACAAGGTGGTATACATATTTCATTAACCCAAAAAACTAGAGAGACAATGGTTGGTGAAACTGCAGAAGGCACAGAAGGACGACCAACAACACAAGATCATTCCACGGCAGCCGGCAAAACCATCGCACAACCAGAGGATGAAGCCAACGGACAAACAGAGAAAGAAACTGATCTTCTCGAGAGGCATCTCCGGAAAAATGGACACCTATCAGGTAACAACCCCCGTTTCAGCTCTTTCAAAGAGGCCCTTGCCTCACCCTTCCCTTCAGAAGATATCACTACTCTCTTTCCTCCTGGGACTGTTACTACTAACCCCCTCAGTGAGGAAGTAGACGATCCTTCTGCACCCTTAGATGACTGTGAGCTTCCTTGCATCACCTTTTCTCAGGAAGAACTAACTCGCATTCGCGATCCTTGGAATCAGTCACTTATTGTTAAACTTATGGGTCGCAATGTGAGTTATAGTCTTCTCATGAATAGAATCAACTCACTTTGGAAACCTTCTGGTCCTATCCATGGGATTGACTTAGGTAACCACTACTATCTCATTAAATTCCACCTGGAGTCTGATCTTCACAAAGTTCTCAACGATGGTCCATGGTTTATTGGTGTAAATTTTCTGGCATTACAAAAATGGGAGCCTGAATTTCACACAAACAGAGCTATTATGTCCACCACAGTCATCTGGGCTCGACTCCAAGGCCTACCTATAGAGTATTATGACAGAAGTACTCTGAAAAGATTGGGTAATCTGCTTGGTACACTCCTTAAAATCGATGTTCATACAGAAAATGGCAATAGGGGAAGGTTTGCTAGACTCTGTATTCAAATGGACTTATCCAAGCCTCTTATCTCCAAGATTAAAGTGGGTTCTTTTATCCAAAAAGTGTCTTATGAAGGAATTACCTCCGTATGTTTTGATTGTGGTCGTATGGGCCATAAAAGGGGTGATTGCAAACTTCCCAACTCTACATCCACATCAGCCCCAATTACCGTTCACACTCCCCATGAACAAGATGATGATTAACCCTTCGGTTCTTGGATGCTTGTTGAGAGGAAGAAACCTTTGAAAAAAAACCTCACCAGAGTTGTTGGTACAAAGGGTGTCCAGAACCAAGGACAAAATCGCGACTCCTTGCATGGAAATGAAGGTCAAAAAGTTTGGCAGCAGAAAGTGCCCCTAAAAATATCCCAACCATTGGCATCCTTGGGCCCCACATCCACCACGCCTATCTTTAATCCCTTTCAAACCCTCTCTGACTGTACAACCGTTGACCAACTGTAATACCCCTGTTCCGTAATATGCTAATTGGTCCTTAACATGATGTGATTATGTATTTTGATATGATTTTGTGTTCCACTATGTGAAAATATGTGGTTTGAAATTTTATCTGTTCATCGTAGGAATATCTGTTTGAGTAGTCTGTTTTGGAAATTTAATTGAGGGCCTTATCGGCCACGGAACCCGAAATTGACTACGCCATTGTGGTTGGCATAATTTTTAGGGCCTACGGTGAAATTTAATTGAAATTTAATTCTGGCCAATTTAAACTGATTAAATTGATAAATTAAGCACCCCATTATTTTATATTAAAATATTTGTTAGTGGGGCTTGTTGTATATTTGCATTGCACTCCCCTTTAGCTCTCTTAAAACTCAAAATCTGAGTTAGACAATTGAGAGGGAGAGAGAGGCCGGCCATGGAGAGAAAAAGGGAGAGATTTGTGTAATTTGGGCTCAAGACTTGGGAATTCGAAGATCTAGCTCAAGATTTGGCTAGAGCTTGAGTGTTGAAGCTCTTAGGTAAGTGAATTCATGGACTCTTACTTATAATTTGTAAGATCAAGGGTTGTTTGTGATCAAGAGCATGTAATGAGTTGATTTTTGTTGAGTTTGAAGTCTTAGAACTCATGCATGTAAGAAATTACTTTGAATTTGCATGTTTGAGCTTGAAACACATGATTCATGTAGAGTTTTAGTTAAAACTCATGTTGTAATCACCATTTGTGCCATCTAAGTTGAGAATGATGAGCATCTCCCACATGCATGTACAAATCATGGGAGTATAAGTCTTGAATGTTGAATTTGAGCATGTTGATGATGGGTTTGAGACAATTTGGGACATGCATGTAGATAATCCATGTAATTGAGCTTCCTAATGTTGTAATCTGCATTAGTAGCATGTTAGCATGTGTAAATGTGTAATTTGAACCATTGCATGCAAGAAATGTAGATGGAAAACTGATTTGGAGCTCAAGAACACGATCTGGGAAACCCAGATTTTTGAGGTCCGCTCGAGCGGGGTAATGGCCGCTCGAGCGGGAAAATCGTGCTCCCAGCATTTTTGCAGAGTTGGATGCCCGCTCGAGCGGGACATTTCACGCTCGAGCGTGGATCTTTGTAGACGGACCTTCAGCTCGAGCGCATCTTTCATGCAACCAGTACTTTTGCAGGCCTTAAGGGTCCGCTCGAGCGGAGAAGTTTACGCTCGAGCGGGGACCCTGTTTCCTGGAATTTTGTTCATGCATTCTGTGATTCGTTTTCCGTTCCCTTTCACTCGTAAGCACTCTTAGGCATATGTTAAGCATTGTAAATGAGTTAATGATATTAGAACAAAGCCTAAAGAGGAATATGTGAATTAAAGAACGGATTGAACTGTTAGTGACCCTTTTGTATTCATGAAATGTGTAGGGTCAAGCTCCAGGGCGCATCCACAAGCCGATCACTGTGAGTAATATCAATATTTGAAAACTTGTCAATGTCCAATTGTTATTCCCCTATAAATATTATGAGTTGTTAATTGGGATTGTGGACAAAAGTCTGACAAGAATAGATGAATGAGTGGGCCAAAGGCCGTTTGACATGAATGAGTGGGCCAAAGGCCGTTTTGACATGAATGAGTGGGCCAAAGGCCGTTTTGACACGAATGAATGGGCCAAAGGCCGTTTTGACACGAATGAATGGGCCAAAGGCCGTTTTGACATGAATGAATGGGCCAAAGGCCGTTTGACATGAATGAATGGGCCGAAGGCCGTTTTGCCATGAATGGAAACCCGGATGGGCCAAAGGCCAGAATGTTTGGAACTACAGTTACTTAACTTGCATTTCGTATAGTTATATATATTTGGTTGTTAAACAGAAGTATGAATTGGGCCCAAGGCCGTTTGGAGCATGTTGTTCTACATATTGTTATGTAACTGTTGCATTTGATATTATTCACTGGGCTATCGCTCACGCTCATTCATGTATTTGTAGGTGAGCCAAGGGAAGTCCAAACCCAGCCCCAGTGAAGTCTGCTAGAAACAATAGGAGTTTTGGGAGAGTCAGCCTTGTGCCTCGCGCATGAGACCATCCTTGCCCTTTTACTATGTACCTATGTTTTGTCTTATTGGCAAGGACCTAGTGCATGTCTATACATAGTCTGTTATAGGTTGACTCGTTTTGGACGATCCTGTCTATAATGAATTTTGTGAAACCGTACTTTTGATGTGAGTTATTAACGTATCTGAGTGTGGTTTGTTTGATGTGCATATAAGCACGGCTCTATGGACAAAGTTTTTAATTTTGCTTCCGTTTGGCCCCCATTAACTCTGTTAAAATACGTTTACAACAGTATGAGGCCGTAGGTAATCTCATGAGTACTGGCCGGTTACGTCCTTAACCCACGGGGGCGGGTTCGGGTCGTGACACCAACCCTCATCTTCAGTCGACCCCAGCTGTCCCCCTACCCTCCCATCTACCTCCCCCAATCTCTCCAAACACGTTTTACCTTTTACACCTTTCCTCCCTTCTCTGTCTACGCCCCTCATCCCAGTTTCCTCTCTGTCCTAGAACTCTGCACAAGTTATCCCCTCTGATTTGTTGAGTTCTGCAAACCCAGTGACCCCTGCGATGGATCTCCCCTCTTCCTTAAACCCTCTTGCCCCTGTCTTCACCCCCACCCCCACCCCAACCCCTAACAGCCCAAACCAAACCCATGCCTCGCCTTCGCAACCACGCACTGACCCGGAGGAGCCCATCCCAACCACACTCCTCTCTCCTAAACTCAACCCCAGATGTGGCTATTCCCTTTTGCTTTACCACCACAGACTCACAAAGCCAACAGGGCTGGTACATGATGACAGGAGGTCACTACCAAAGGGTGGACGATCGTCTGATCTAAGAGATTCAAAGGGATCCCACCCACATCTTGGGGTGGTTCGATCTGGAAGTAATGAACATTTGGATGACCCTCTCCCCTCTCTTCCCTGTTCCAGCACAATATCTTCATCGCCAAACTGTGGTGGTAACTTACCTGTCAACACCCTTCACCCATCTCTCCGATTTCCCTCCACAGGTGATTCAATTGAACCAGATTGTGACCCAACCTACCCAATTTCTCCCAAATCTCCAAAGTTTCCAGAACAACCTAGTTGTGGAGACTCTCTTTCCTATCCCAGAATCCCCACCGCTGGACTTTCATCGTCTCTTCACCATCCCAAGGGAGTTCATTCTCCCAAGCCAATTTCCCAAAGTGGAGAAAATCCTAGCAGAACCAGATCTCCTCCGCCTTCGCGTTATCGCCAAATCTTACACGTACACGACGCCCGTAAATTGGGCTTTAGAACACTCAGTCTGCCTAACCCTATACTGGAATAGGAAGAAGAAAACCAGCTTGGACCCAGGATGGGTGTCTTCGCAGGCGGACCTGAACTTGGGGGAAACCCCCCAACCCTCCCTTGTTTAAGTCTCCAATGAAAGTCCTATTGTGGAATTGCCGTGGGGCAGCTAACCCCCATTTTAGAAGACATTTTCACAACCTGATGAATGAACATCAACCTTGCCTGGTTGTTATCACTGAAACCAGAATTGGTGGGGATAGAGGTAGAGAAATCTGTGAAAGCCTTGGCTTCCCCAAATTTGAAATCTCAGAACCTGTTGGCTTTGCTGGCGGCATTTGGCTGCTCTGGAATGATCTTGAAGTCTGTTGCGACATCCTCTCAGTGACTCAGTAAGAAATCCACGCCTTTGTTCAGGTACATTCAAATTCTGCTAGTTGGTTTTTCTCTGCTATTTATGCAAGTCCTCACTTTAACCTAAGAAGAGACTTGTGGGATAACCTTAAGCTTTTTGCTGATAACCACAACTTTTCTTGGCTTATAGTGGGTGATTTCAATGAAATTCTTTCAAATGCGGATAAATTTGGTGGGCGAGCCATTAATCCTTATCGCTCCCAGAGATTCAAAAGTTGCATAGATCACTGTGGCCTTATGGACTTGGGTTTTTCTGGACCCTGTTTCACTTGGACCAACCTTAGACAAGCTAGTGGAATCATCAGAGAGCGGCTTGACCGTGCTCTTTGTAACAATGATTGGCACCTTTTACACCCTGACACAACAATTTTTCACCTCCCCAGAATCCACTCTGATCACTGCCCCATTCTCCTCAATCTAAATCCTCACCTCCGTAGAACTGTCCGGCCCTTTCGCTTTGAGTCTATTTGGTTCTCTGACCCATCTTTGTTGTGTTGTCAAAGAAAGTTGGAGCAATCCCACTAACCCTTACACCAACTGTGTTTCTGATTTTAAAGATAGAGTCTCTCTTTGGAATAAGACCACTTTTGGTAATATCTTCCTTCGAAAAAAAAGACTTGCTGCTAGGATTCTTGGGGTTCAAAAATCTCTTGACTCTGTTTCAAATCCCTTCTTCCTTGATCTTGAAAAATCTCTCATCAATGACTATAATGGTATTCTCAAAATGGAGGAAGATTTTTGGGCCCTCAAAGCCAGAATTAACTATACTCTTGATGGCGACCGAAACACAAAATTTTTTCATGCTTCTGTTCTGTCCCACCGCAGAAGAAATAAAATCTTTGCCCTAAAAAATTCAAACAACAGCTGGTTGTACGAAGAGGGTCAGATTAAAGAGGTTATTGTAACTCACTTCAAGGACCTCTTCACATCTTCTAGTATCTCTGAAAATCTTTTCCCTCAAACCACCCTCACTTTTCCCACCATTGATAACACTCTTCATTGTTCTCTCTGAAATCCTCCGTCGCTGCAGGAAATTAGGTCTGTTCTTCGTACTTTCAAGCCCTGGAAAGCTCCTGGCCCTGATGGCCTCCACCCAGCTTTCTTCCAACGCTGTTGGAATCTCATAAACACCTCTGTTTTCCTTTGTGTGAGAGATGCTTTCGTCACTGGCAAGATCCAACCTGAAATTAATCAAACCCTTCTGTGTCTTATCCCCAAATCTGACCACCCTGAAACCATCACTCAATTTCGTCCCATTGGGCTTTGTAACACTATTTATAAGGTGATTACCAAAACCCTTGTGGCTCGTCTTCGCCCCTTTTTGAATGACATCATCAGTCCTCTCCAATCAAGTTTCATTCCGGGCAGAAAAGGAACTGACAATGTCATCATTGTTCAAGAATGTGTCCATCAATTCAAATCCAAAAAAGGGAAATCCGGAAACATGCTCATCAAGTTAGATCTCGAAAAGGCTTTCGACCGTCTTGAATGGGGTTTTATTAGACAAGTCTTAACCTTCTTCAACTTTCCCCCCCTCTGGATCATCCTCATCATGTCTTGTGTTTCCACATCATCCATTGCTATCTTGTTTAATGGTGGTTTGACTGATTCTTTTACACCCACTAGAGGTATCCGTCAAGGCAATCCCTTATCACCTTGTCTTTCCATTCTCTGCCTTGAATACCTCTCCATTACCATCAACAAGGCTTGTGATGAAAATCTCTGGGCTCCAATCAAACTTAGTAGGGGTGGTCCGCAACTATCCCATCTTTTCTTCGTGGATGATCTCATCCTCTTTGGTAAAGCTACTAAAAGCAATTGTGAGTGCATCAAAAATATTTTGCAAGACTTTTGTACCCAATCAGGCCAGAAAGTTAGTTTCCTTAAATCAAAAGTCTTATTTTCAACCAACCTCAATACCGAAATCCAAGATCACCTTGCCCTCACTCTCCAAATCCCAAAAACCACTAATCTTGGCAAATATCTAGGCTGCCCTATCTTTCATAACAGACCCAACAGAGCCACCTACCACTTCCTCGTTGAAAAAATTCAGTCCAAACTTAGTGGTTGGAAGAGCAAATTATTATCAAACGCTGGTCGCACCACTCTCATTAAAGCTGTTAATGCCGCCATTCCCTCTTACATTATGCAATGTAATTATCTCCTCATTTCCACTTGTAAAGCTCTTGACAAAATCAATAGGGACTTTCTTTGGGGTTCAAATACTGTGATCCGCAAAATCCATGCCATTAGTTGGGACACTGTGACCAAACCTAAACACTTCGGGGGTTTGGGTATTAGGCAATCCAACCTTGTTAACCGTGTTGCGATGGCAAAACTAGGTTGGCGCTTGCAACGTGATAAAGATGCCTTGTGGGTTAAGGTTCTTAATGCCAAATATAAAAATCCCAACCTTAGACCCACTAGAGCTTCACCAACTTGGAGAGGTATCCATAAAGGTCACAATATTATTGAAAAAGGAACCAAAACCCTCCTTAGGAATGGCTTAACCACATCCTTTTGGTTGCATAACTGGGTGGGCATTGGTTTACTTAGGAATGTCATATCGGGTCCTCTCACTAGGGATGAAGTGTCCTTGAAAATTAGTGACTGTTGGTGTGATAATTCGTGGGATCTCTCTAAAATCTCCTTTGTCCTCCCTCCATTCATTGGTAACAAAATCAAAAGTATCACTCTTCCTTAGTTTTCTTCAGGTGACGATCAAGCTATTTGGAATTTTTCTGTGAATGGTGATTTTCAATCAAAATCTGCCTACCTCCTTTCAAAAGATTTCATCATATCCCCCCCTTTATCCAATTGGGATTGGGTCTGGCGCATCCATGCTAGCCCCAGAATAACCCACTTTCTTTGGTTATGCCTTCATCAACGCATCATCACCAAATCCCTACTCTTCTGTCGAAACATCACCTCGGATGATACTTGTCCCCTTTGTTCGCTTGCTCCTGAAACCACTTGCCATATCCTTAGAGATTGCCCAAGCTCACAAGATCACTGGAACTCCATTGGGATTCCTCCACTTCTCAAGGACTCTTTCAACCTTGCCTTCACTGATTGGGTCCGCACAAATTGTCAATCCGCAGTACTTCATTCCACCAATGTTGCTTGGTCCATTATTTTCCCAATCACTTGTTGGTCCCTTTGGAAAGCTAGAAACTCTCACTGTTTCTCCCCAAACAACCCTACCCCTTTTAACCCTTCACTTATCACTTCCTTGGCCCTTGAATGGCAGCATACCTCCACCCTATTCCAACCTACCAGAACAAAATCCACCCATTTTATCTCTTGGCACCCTCCCTATCTTTGCAATTACAAACTGAACACTGATGGTTCAGCCAAGGGCTGTCCGGGGCCTGTTTCTGGTGGAGGAATTATCCGAGATAAATGGGGCCAATGGGTTACTGGATTTTGCAGAAACATAGGAACTGCTTCAAGTCTAGAAGCCGAATTTTGGGCACTCTGAGATGGCCTAAATTTGGCGTTCGATAAAGGTTACAGAAACATTGAAGTGGAAACCGACTCTTTGCTTGTCAAACAACTCATCATGGGTAGTAAAAATGCTAACCATCACTTGAGTAATTTAATCCATGACTGCAGGTTCCTGTTACAGCAGCTGGGAGTCCAAGTGATTAATCATATCTACCGCGAAGGAAACAGCTGCGCGGATATTCTAGCAAATCAAGCCTCTCCCACAACTGATACCTTACATATTTTTGATTTTGCTCCACCATGTATTGCTAATCAATTGTATGATGATGCTCGCAGGATTAGTTATCCCAGAACTTTGTACTGTCCTACTTAATTTATTTTAGTTCCTGTTTACCAAAAAAAAAAAAAAAGAAAAAAAAAGAAATAAAAGGTGTAAAAATTGACATGAGTTTGTCCCCTCTTTCCTACTCCTCCTTTTCTTGATAATTACTTCATCCCATGTTTTCTTTTTTTAACTTGTATTAAAAAAATAAAAAATAAATAAACACTATTTTTCTCCGTAATCTCCTTATCTTTTTTGATTTTTTTTTTTTTTTGGGCACTTTGCATTATTATTGTTGAAGTACATCATGGTTTGTTTGCTTCATTGCATTTAATTTTCTCAATCTTACTGATTTAAAAATATATGATATTTTTGGGTATAAAGTATAAAATATAAAAGTAAAAGTCAATAGTCATAAAATGACCCAAGTCAGATCTAACAAAATATTCAATAATGCTAAAGTAAAATACATTTGATTATAACAAGATATGATATCTTACATGTCATTAATTACGTGTGTTATGTCGAGATATTTACTGATATTTTTAATATCATATATGATGATATTACATTAAATAGTACCTAAATGTGTTAATCGAAAGTGCCTAACCACCTGAAATAATTTGTTTGATTAGAACGTATGTATCTTATTAGGAGGCTAGTTGTTTGAATAGCTCCACATTCATGTGAGTTTTATTTCCTGTTTATTTGTGAGAGTTTTTTTTTATACAAATTATGTATTTATTATTATTTTTTCTTTTCTAAGATTGTTCTTCATATCTAGTAATTCTATGTAACGTAGACGTGTGCACCCATCGATGGTTACTTGTATATAACGTAGATGTGTGCCCATAGATATGGGTGTAGGTGTAGTTAACTGAGATTCCATAGTGTTGATACAATATGTTATTTATTTTGCACAACAACTTGGGTGTCATTATAGGTTATAATTGAAAATATAGTAATCCCAATTGTGTTACGTCGTCTTTGTTTGAAATTAATGAATTAATGAAATGAAACAAGTCACTCTTAGCCGTTCAAATCTATGTAATCTATATAATACTAAGTAATAAAGACATATAATAGGTGTGGGTGAGACCTTTTTGAAGATAATGGATTATAAAATTTTATTGAAAAAGGTTTGACCCTCTGTTTGAGAGGTCATGCTCTCAAGGGTTATTATTATTATTATTAATTTCATTGACTTGTAATGTAGATGGAGACCCAAAATGAGAAAGGTGAGGAGAATAGCTTTTTTAGATAGCAATGGCCTTCTAAATAATTGTGAACCGGCCCATTACAATGAACCCTGACCAAATCACACATTTGTAATGTTATACAAATAAATTTTTTATATGAAAATTTTAAACACAATGACGTGTCTCATTTATATCTATTTATTGAAAATCAAAATGCATGATTCCTGATTACAAAAATGTTATTGTCATATTATTCTATTCTTAAATTTTACAAAAAATTAGTGTATGAATATCATTTTTTTTTTTAAAGGTAACTTAACAACCAAATGAGCACTTCATTTTGGGTGCTTTTAAATACACTCTTTAATTTTTATATTTTTTTATTTACATATTGTTGGAAATGGTTATTTTTTCCTCAAGTTTGGTCTATTTTTTAGGTGGGCCCCGAGTGTCGATTTACTCGGGTCAAAGTGGTAACGCGTTCTATGCCGCGTTGTGATTCACGTGGTATATTTGGTTGCTCAAAACCATTACCGAGTGAATGGGAAATTGAAGCCAAAGTGTGCTCCATGAAAATGGAGTTTTGGTGGAAATCCCTTAAGGTTGTAAATTGGCTTGTCCCACATTGATTTGGTGGGAGGTTTTGAAAGGGTTTATAAGGCTTAGGGTGAGATACTTGGGGTGTGCCCCAAGGGGTACCCAAGTGTTTTAGAGGGAGAGGTTATGGGCAAAATGGGCTAGACCCATTGGACCCAAAAATCACCACACACGCAGGTGCGTGGTTGGGCTTCTAATCTTTTTGGGCCAAAAACATTTGAATTTAATTTTATTTTTTATTAAAATAAAATCCAGAATTCAAATTAAAGACTTCCAA